TTATATACACACAGGCAAAATACTCATAAAATAAAAATTAAAAAAAAAAAAAAGCCAGGCTTGATGGTTCAGGTTTGTAATCCCAGCACTGGAGAGGCAGAGACAGACAACATAGATCCCTGGGGCTCAATAGCCAGGGATTGGCCATCCCCAAGAGAAAAAAGCAGGGAAAACATCAAGGTAGATAGCCCCTGAAGAACAACATACAGGCACAAATGCCCCCCCCCCCCCGCAACAGCGTTTGCAAACAGGTCGCTGCTAGATTCATAGGTATTCAGGCCCCTCCTGCCAGATCCTGGGATGGGCTCACAACTGCCCAAGAGGCTACCCTAGAGGCACAAACATGCCTCTAAAGTGGGTATTCTGTGTTCTGTAGGTTCCCCTGACTCCCGCTACATCCGCGTAGAGACCTGCATGTTCATGATCAAACTTCCGCAGTACTCCTCCCTGGAGATCATGTTGGAGAAGCTGCGCTGCGCCATTCATTACCGTGAAGATCCCCTAAGTGGCTGATGGGAGCAAGCCTAAGGATTAGGCTGTCAGCAAGGCACCATTCTGCTGGCTTGGGAAGCTTGCCACTGCAGACATGTCCCTCCAGGGCCCTGCGTGAGGAGTTGGCAACATTTTGCTTTTCTGAACTTTTTTTCCTGTATTCCAGGGCCTCCTGGCAGATAACCTCCTGTATTTGTCCATTTTGTGATGGGTTGGTTCTTTTCCTGCCTGTTTGTGGTATATCTGTAGGGTAGTTTACTTCCCAGACAGTTTGTGTCTAATTTGATCTTCCTGGACACTATCCTTTGTGGCTACCAGATTCTGATGCCACAAGGCTCCAGCTAGTTCCTCCTCACAGAGCCACCCAACTGGAAGCTGGGGGTGAGATGACTTCAGCCACACAAAGCGTCTTGTTCTCTTTAGAATGTCTCCATAAACGTCTGTGTGGCCAGCCCTGCCCTCCTTCCCGAGCTGGCAACTCTTCGAGGCAGCTCCTACAGGCCTCCCCTCTTTCCATCTTAAAGTGGTTGTGCTGGTACCCAAACATGCAAGAGATACACGGGAAGCTCCTGTGTTAATTTTCCTGCTTTACAATGTGTTCCTGGCCTTGGTTTTTCCAAGGAAAAGCCCACAGTGGTTCCTTTGTCCCCCCTATCCAGGCAGCCCTATCTGCCCGCCCGTCTCTTCTGGGCCCCTAAGCTGAGTTTCCCCTGAGGACTCCTCAGGAGCAGAAACCCAGGAGTTGTTCCAGGCCTTCCTTCGTAGAGACAGGTTAGGTTCATCCTCGCTTCAAGAGCTGAGAAGACACTGGAGCTGAAAGGATAGTGCTTAAGGGGCCTTTTCCACAACTGATGGCACAGGAAAGCACATGGTTCAAGCCTACCCCACTTCTGTGCTCAGAAATGGCACTTCCCAACCACAGTGCTGTGAGAAACAAAGGAAACCATTACAGCCCATTTTTAAAAGACTGTCTGAGGTGCTCTGCCCAACCCAGGGCTGCATCAGTGACTCAGACCTTAAAGTCCAGACGGAGACTCCCAGGGGTTCCTCTGTCCCCCTGGCTGGCCTACCCAACATCCTTCACATCCCAAGTGTGTGTGCCAGGGCTGAGCTGGCTGCAGGCTCATCCACTGCCCCAGTGCATTTGTGCCCCAAACAAGTCTTTGTCCAATGGTACTTTGTTCAAGAGCAGCACATGCCACCTGCTGGACACCATCATTTTGGGCCTTGCCAATTGTCACAGAACAGCACTGTAGCTGTTGCATGGGATTGTGCACAGGGACATCCTGAATGAGTTCTCTCTGGAAGGCTGTGGCTAGGGATGCTGTCAGAGGGCCTGCTGGAAGGTGTGGAAGCCTTAGAGTCAGCACCCATCTTCTCCCTGTTATGCTTAGGAAATGCATTGAGGACCATTACAGAAAAGATTCCCTGACCTGACTCAAGGATGAGATAAACCCCTGGGCTGCAGTGCTCACCCATGGAGGTGAGTGCCCTTAGCAAGCCCCTGCTCTGAAAGAAGATAGCGGCCTCTGCTCCAGGCCAACTCCATGATGGGGTCACATCAGGAATGCATTCCTGACAATAAGGATCCTCTTACTCCATTTCTGCAGAATGAAGGAGACTCTGAATTTACTAAAGTGGGTTTTCCTCCTTCTATCTTCAAATTCTTGGTTCCCTCCAATCTTCTTCCCTTGAATGGACTTGGGATTCTGTCAGCTACCTCCCCAAGAGGGGTTCTGGAAGCTTCTGTTGGCCCATCCCTTCATTAGATGACAGCTGTGAGTGAGATATCTGCTGCTAACTCAGCTGCTTCTCCTAGAGAGCACACTGAGGTCCAGACAGATCTAAACTTTGGCCCTAAACAATGTGTGCTGTAAAGTTACTTGATGTATATTTATTATAATTATTTATGGTTGCATTAACAGACTTTTCATTCGATCCGATGCTATTTACACTATGCTGTGTAAAGGGAGCTCACTACAGGAAAGTCTCAAAATAAATAACCTTCATCTAATTCTGATTTACCCTACTGTGTGGTCAACTCTTGCTGAGCAAGCACTCTGGCTAGCATTGTTTGGTGGTTCTGACACTAAGTGGCACTAAGCACCTAGGAACTTAAAGCGTTTGCAGTTGTCTTGGTCTGGGTTTGCAGATTTGTATTCCATAAGCTTGTGAACTGGCCATCCCGCCTCCCTCCATGCAACCTCATAGTTGGTGCTTTTCATCTAGAAGGGCGGAAAGCCCTGGTCAGAGCTAAGCCTAACCCTGCATGTGCTGCCCACTGTCCTGGCAGCTAGTCTGCTGGGAGCCTGGTGTGGGGTTTTCTATAGCAGATTATTACTCTGTAACTGTCTGACTCTACCTAGACAGTCCTTGGGGTGGCAGTGCAGAAAGAGAAGAGCTGTCTCAGCCTCTCTGTGTGACCTCCTACCCCAGGGAGCCTCTGTTGTCTTCATTCAGGAGGTCCCTAACTCCATTCTGTGACCTGCTTTTCCCCTACTGCTCCATGATAATCCTCATCCTGACCACATGACACCCATCCTCTCAACTCCACCCCTTGTGTTTCATCAATGCTACTTTTAGTGCAATTCTCCCACATATGTCTTTATCATGGGAAGAGCAAGGATCCTTGTGAGTGCAGATCCAGCAGCTGCTCTTCCTCATCTGTTGCTCAGGATGCTGGAAACAGAGCACAGCTACCACAGCAGAGAAAAGGAAGACCTCTGTTCAGACTTCAGGAACAGCAAGGATCACTGCTCTCCAACACATTGCTGTCTCCCAGAAAAGTACATTTAGAAGGCATGCCATCCAATGATGAGAGATGCCCCATTCTCAGTAAGAAGATGCTGACTGAATATGCAGGGAAGCTATCCATACCACAGAAAGGGTAGAGAGAGCCCAGCTAAGAAGGTCCATCAAGAGCAGAATAAACCAACCACGGTGACAATGGAACACTGCATGTCATAAGCATTGGTGGTCAAAGAAGCTAGGGAAGCGGTGTGACTCTAGCTTGGTAATGCCTACAGGAGAAAGTGACCTGGGTGGGAGGGGTCATGTGGCTCTACAGTATTCTGCTTCCATCCACTGAGCTGTACACATCCACATGGAGAGGCAGGCAGATCTCTGTGAGTTCGAGGTCAGCCTGGTCTATATAGTGAGTTCCAGGCCAGCTGGGACTACAGGGATACCATGTCTCAAAAAAGACCAAAAAACAAAAAGGAAGAAAGAAAGGAAAGCAAGCAAGCAAGCAGCGGGCCCTTACATATTAAAAAGTATATATCTGTAGGGAGGGGAGGGGAAGGAAAAAGAAAAAAGTATATATCCATTACAAATCATTTAGAAACATCAGCTCGCTAACAAACCACAAACCAGTCCATTGTCATTTTACCATGCCTAATCCAGGCGGTGTCAAGTGGAGTGAGATTTTTGCTTTCTCCCAGGCCTGTGTTCCAGTCTAGATGGAGAGAGGCCCTAGAAGTTCCAAGGGGATGTCAATGACACAAGCATGCTCTCTGATCCTTTCATCTGAGAAAGGCTCTTCTGAGCTGCCTCTTAGGTGATTTTGGTTTCCTGAGGTGTGACTAGATGAAGCACTACAGTATGTTCTTTTTTGGGATAGGATGATTTTCAGTCCTGGCTCTGCTGAGAATTAGCAACACAGCCTTCTGTAAACTGCCACTGCTACCTGTGTCTCATGTTCCATTGATGAAACGTGGCAATTCTTCCCATCTTTCTGAATCCTTGTAGACTGTTAAAACAAATGAGCTCAAAATAACTGACAGTACTATATGGTCCTATGAAGACCAGGAGTGCTTAAATGAAACTACTACTTTTGGGATGTTCAGACAAGGCCCAAGTAATCCTCCTAAAGACTACGGGCGTGCACAACTGTGGCCTTTCTGTATTCTGAGGCAATCCACTAGGTCCCCAACCACCACAACTTCAGTGAGCCTGTTTCCTCAAAAGTGCAATTTGAGCTGGGCATGGTGACAAATGCCTTTAGTCCCAGCACTCGGGAGGCAGAGGTAGGTGGATCTCTCTGAATTCAAGTCTACCCTGGTCTACATAGTGAGTTCCAAGCCAGCTAGAGCTACAAGGAGACCCTGTCTCAAAAAGGCCAAAAAACAAACAAACAAACAAAAAACAGTGCAATTTGAAAACCACTACCAGCACTTAAGAGGAGGGTGTCAGGATGAGGATCTCAGAAAAGGCAAAAAGAGAATGCTCCTTGAATGGCTGGAGCACTCTGAGAAGGAACCCATACTGGAGCATCCTACAAAAGGCCCAGTCCTCAACTGTGCATGGTGGCACATGCCTAGAATCCCAACAGTCTGTAGGCTGAGGCAGGAAGAATGCAAGTTAGAGGCCAGCCTGGGCTACACAAAGAGACTCTGTCTCAAAATAAGTAACACATAAACAAACCAAAAGCTGTGTTCTTCACCTCCCCATGGGCATGCTGGCCTCCCACAGTCTCTACAGGGAACATAGAAAGAACCACAAGATACAGCTGAGCTCTAAGTACAAATTTTTTATTTCTAAGGAAGTTGATAATTAGAACAGTTAAAATAAAAAGGGAAGGGGCTGGAGCCTCAGTCCTTACAGGAATAGGCTCGGTGTGGCCCTAGTGGGGGCAGCCTGTCTTAGCCTTTAAATGAGGGCAGTGAAAACAAAGCAGCCATGTTTCCCATCAGGAACAGAGGGCAGTGAGTGACACTACACACTGAGAGGACCTCTAGTCCACATACCTCCCGCTGGACATGTTCCCAACACACTGAAACCAGCAGAGTTTAGAGCTGCTCCACTCACTAGTCCAGAGGTTGAAGAGGGCAGGAATGCAGGGGGATACCCAAAACCCAAGTTGAGGCTCTCAGAGGGAAGAAAATCGCTTCACCGGCAGCTACCAGTTTTCCAGAACCCTCTCCTTCCACCAGGACCACAAAGCACCAAGAAGCAATGCTGACAGTATCTAAGGATGGAGCCCTGGTGGGCCGAGGGCCACTACTGTACTGGATCTCACTGCTGGCCAACAATAGCAGCGAGGGCTGAAACATTTCCCACCAGCCTCCCTCCTAGCCCTCCCTCAAACCCAAACACCCACAGCACAATCTCAAAGACATAAAATGGCCATAACCTAGAAAAAAATGAAAATTGGAGGGTCTCCCCTGCCTGAAGAGTGTGAGAGGCAAGCAGGCCCTGCACCAGCAAGTGCTGCTATGCATAGAGGGTAGGGACCATTGAGGGTCCTCCACAGTCACCACTACTCCTCCTCTTCCTCCTCTGCATCCCCGGCTTCCTGCTGCTTTGGAGGCTTTGCCTGTTGAACAACACAAGGAAGACAGTGAAAGAGCACTCAAGGATGCTAGAGAAACCTGGTTCCCAGAAAGCATTCTTCAGGAAAAGCCAAGGACCAGTCCAGTCCACTGGCCAAGGTGTCTGATTCAGCAAGTTCTCTGACTTCACAAGCCCCACCCATGTCTGGATCTGCCAGAATATCACAGGTTAGGTCCCAGTTACCTTTGCAGCTCTGTTGTGGTAACTGGCAGCTGCAGGGATGACCCGGGAGCTCCTGCCACCTTCACTCCTGCCACTGAAAGAAGAATCAGAAACCAGCATCCTGAGATGTCTCAAGACTCAAGAGGGAATGAACAGATGGTACCAGTCCAAAAGCAGCCCTGCAGCAGTACACCAATTGCAGCAGCAAAGCCCGATGGGCAGCTGAAAAACCCTTTGGGAATGAGGGGACAATATAGGGCTATGGTGCAGCTCAATGGTAAAGAATGTGCTGAACATGCATAAGGTCCTAGGTTCTAGCCCCAGCACCATGGAAAAAAAAAAAAAAAAAAACAGCAGTCCTCCTTCTTTCCATAGACTGGTGTGAATTTTTTTTAAGTTCATTTTATTATTGAGAACAACATTGTGTATGTGTGATTGTGCACACACATGTATGTGGTATATGGGTACATATGTGCTATGGCACATGTGTAGGTTAGAGGACAACTTGGGAGTCAGTTCTTTCCTTCTACCTTTAGATGGGTTCCAGGGATCAAACTCAGGTTGTCAGGCTTTTGCACCAAGTGCTTTTACCTGCTGAGCCATCTCACTGGCCCCAGACCATCTACCCATGTTCCCTTCAGCTACCATCAGCTCCATTTATTTCCTGGCTGCTGCTTACCTGGCTCCGTATCTCCCTGTGGGCCCATGGGGAAAAGAGGGCACAAGGTTTTCTGGATAGAGATTTCGAACAGAGTGGCTTACTGGAACATGCCCAGAGGCCATGGGCCCATTCTGGCTGCCCCTACTCTGCCCCCAAATGTCCTGGTTATCCGAGCTATTGAGTTTCAGCACATGAGGATGGCTGGGCTGGCACTCTGATCTCAGGCCTGATGGTGATTTCAATAGTCGGTTACAGGTAGTCATATTGTTCATGGTTCTGCTGGGAGGCAGCAAGTAGGTAGATCCTTTTGCTATTTCCTGCTTGATATCATCCATGTAGTCAGAAGACAGGTCGCCTAGGAAGAGAAAATAGTGATGGCCTTAGGGGAAAGGCTACTGTTGCTGTTCAATGTTGGATTCAGGGCAGGAACAAAAAGATCCTGGGGCTGGAGAGACGGCTCAGTGGTTAACATTTGTTGCTCTTGCAGAGGACCTAGATTCACTTCCAAGCACCCACGTCAGGTGGCTCATAACTACCGCTTTTAACTCTAACACAGGGAATCCAATACTTTAGCTCTTTGAGGCCACTAACTCACATGCACACACCAATACACCAATACACAGTAGTATACACCATTTAAAATAATAAAAACAAATCCTTAAAAAAATGATTCCTGGCCGGGCGTGGTAGCGCCTTTAATCCCAGCACTTGGGAGGCAGAGGCAGGTGGATCTTTGTGAGTTTGAGGCCAGCATGGTCTACATAGCGAGTTCCAGGACAGCTGGGGCTACAGGGAGACCCTGTCTCAAA